AATTCCTTCAATTCATGGGTAGTGATTTGTGAAAGGTGTGAGCGAGCGTTGTCATGCGAAAGAATCGGACCCTTTCCGTTGACAAGTGCTGGCTGCAGCTGACGCAATTTTCGGTACATTTCGTCGATTTCTTCACAGTAGGACTCTGCTGTGATGGTTTGGCCTGGTGACAAAAAGTTATAGTGGATCACACCAGCCGATGACCACCACACTGTGACCATAATCTTTTTTTTCGTGAGGATTCGGCTTTGGTTGCCACGGTGGTTCGTCGGCATCCAACCACTGTCCGGAACGTCTCCTGTTATCATACATGATCCACTTTTCATCACAGGTGACAATTCGGTCCAAAAACGGTCGTTTCTGTTGCGCAAAAGCAGTGAAGAGAAACCTCGAGACGTGCCAATTTCTGCCGGTCACTCAAATTGTGGGGCACCCACTTATCGAGTTTTTCACCTTCCCAATGCGTTTCAGACCATCTGCAACAGTGGATTTGCCAACGCCTAGCTTTTCTGCAATCTCTCGAACTGTTTGGGATGGGTCAGCCTCCACAAACGCCTTCAAATCTCTCAGTATTGCTTTAGGTCGACCGCTACGAGGTTCATCTTCAAGGCTGAAATCTCCAGAACGAAATTTCGAACCATTGTCGCACGGTGCTTTCTCCAACACTATTGGGCCCCACACCTGGTTAATTTGTTGAGCTGTCTCGATTGCGGATTGACCCAATTTATAGTCGAAGAAAAATATCGTCCGAAGTTGCTCTTTTGACATGCTTCAAAAAGTCTTGGGAAAAGGGGGTTTATCAAGCAATGGTGAAACGGCAATTATACCATCAGATAGCGCAAAGAATTCTCTTCAGGATGTACTACTGAGACGCAAGGGAGAATGAGTTTTTAATCAGCAATGAATGTACAAAAAATGGTAACACAAAACGCTGAGAACTTTCCGGAAAACCTAATACTTAGTGACCCTCCCCTTCTAAGGCACTCTCACCTCCTGCCACCCGCCAAAGATGTTTACGACCAGCCTCCTGCATCACTTCTCGGAAGCAACACTCCGCCGTTGCTGTAACGCAAGTTATGAATTTGCTGAATCTGTCCTTATAAGAACATTTATCAGCTCTTATCCATCGTTATCAGATTCTTTCACCCACCACTAATATTCCCGTCGCACCCCTTATAGCACTTATTAATTTGAACTCTCTGCGGCTGATTTGAAGGAAGTTATGAATTTCCGGTCAAACCACACACCATACATACACACACCACTGGACAAACTTAGCGGATCATATATAGAAGGATAACTAAAAAAGAGTTGAAATTTAACACAAACCGCTTCCGTCCTCATGCTCCACATCACACAAGTCTAGAAACTCTCGCGCGGAAGATGTCAGTGTTTCCATCGTTTCCTTTGCATCAGAGCCCTCCTGCAAAACCATTCAATAAAGTCTTCGGTGCTGAAAAGAAACAACGACAGCAACAGCAATGAAACTATTTGAAAGATTGCACGTTACAGGATGGTGAATGCAGGAAAAGATGAAGGCAAAAAATTCTGCCCACCCAGGCCCCAAAGAAAACTTCGTGACACGAAACATTTAGTCGCGCGACCCATCGCAACTCATTGAACCGCCGTAACTGCTCAGTGGAAGTCGGGATGAAACTTAATTACAGCATCAAAGTATAGACGCAGCCTACCAGATGATCATCCTCAGTATCCAACTCTCAATGGAGCAGTACTTCGGTACGAAGACTACATAGGGTATAGAGAGCGATGGAAAACAATAAAGGATGATTATGAACAAAATACTGGTCAAATGATACAAGGAATGGGCTTGAAAGTGAAGAGAGAACAATAGAATTCATGAACGTCGGCCCGCACCTCCCGCTTCCCGTGCGGTTACGCACTCTATTAAACTAACGGGGCCCACTCTTACCGTCTCACCAGGAAAGGTCAACAGGTCAGCCTGGCCATTTGCAATGAGATGCACATCGTTGTACCCGTCTTGAGACGGTGAACTCAAAACTATCTTCAAAATTTGCGGAACGATTCTCTGAGCGGAGTTAGAGAGGTTTTTCTTTACTGTTTTTCTTCTTCCGGGCGCGCAAGCGTTGGCACCTGTAGCGCGACTCACAGCGCTCCTCGCGCAAAATAGGTA